TGAGAACAAGCCCTGGGTTGTACTCCACACACAGCCTGGATTTACCCATCCGTGGGTAGATTCAGTGTGGTTCAACACGGCACTTTTACATTTTAAGGTTTAAGCACTTTTTAAGGACAGTCTAAAAAAAAAAAAAAAGTTAAACATGTGACTTTTCCAGGATACACAGTTAAGATCAGTGGATCTGAATCACGTCATCAAACTACTTCAAGATTCAGACTCAGTAAGTAAGCATGATACCTCACTATTTCAGTTACACAGGTAGTAATGGGGCTTAGAAAAATGTTCTATACAGTTACTTTAGTACCCAGATGGCACTGTTAGCTGGGGCTACAGAGCTCAAAGCTGAAGTATTTGTTCTGGTATTTGAATACTTCTTCTAAAGGTGGTCATTGTAATAGAGAACAGTCTCAATGATGTTTTTATATTAAAAAATATATATGACCCAGTATGTCCACACACAGGCACTTTTCAAAAAAAAGACAACAGCGTGTGCATTTATAAACTAGATGTGCAAAATTTCTAGCTCATCTGGGAGTTTTTGAGTGCTGAAACCTACAGCTGAGAAACAAATATGTACAGAGTTACTAGAAGTATGTCAGGAATTTATGTAATTGCCCAAGTTAACTGCTAACATTTCTCCAAGGATGTGATTTTTAAAGGAAGGAGAAATATACAAAGTTCAGTGTTGAGGGACAGATATGACTACCTAGGCACACAGGACAGCATAATCTCATGGACTTCCACAGATTGTTTTTGGTCTCCACAAGAAGATTTGGCAAACTAAATTCACTAAGCCATCAGTTATGTTTGATCTGAAAATCTAATAATTTATATTCTTAAAACAAGTACTTGATTAAACATACCACGTTTTAAATTAATGCCCCACAGAGATGTAGTTCACGTCCTTTTCCCTTTTTGATACAGAGCTGATAGAATTAACTTAATGACTGAAGAAAAATGTGCTGGATTATGTTGTTTGCTGCTTCTCTAGAGAGTATAAAATATACGATAAAATGCCCTTAGGATTCTGGGCTTGTATATTCCTGAAACAACTTTCTGGTCTGCCTCAAGTTGCAGTGCTCTGGCCCAGTGTGGAGGTGCTCAGAAGAGCTGGAATGAACGCTGCGTGTCACCCTGACATAGCCTCACTTCAGTTGTTTGCAACTTTGAATTTGCAGACTGTTTCCTAGTGGTGGCAGAGCTTCACTCTATAAGCCACTTAGATCAACGTTTTTATACGTTTATGTCGCAGGTGATACAGGTTTGGCTTTCTTAGTTGTCTTTCACAGAATCCCAAAGAATTTAAGAAAAAGAACCCAAATGTTTGAACAAAAGATAGAGTTTTTAAAAGCCTCTTCAGTTACAAGAGCACAGACTCCATACTTAGAAATGAGGCTTGATTAAGGAGCTAATCCTGCTGCAAAGCACTTTCAGAAGTTCATTGTGTCTTGTGATTTTTTAGTCTGGTTTCCACTTTCATTTAAACTTAAAAGGAGATAAATATAATCATTTAATGTTCTAAGGCAAACTACAATTAAAACCTGCTTTTCATTCTTTTACTTAAGAAAGATTTGGAAAAAGAGCAGCTGAAAATTCTCAAGAAGGTAATCAAGCGTTTTGAAAATGGGCTTGTATCCTTTTTACTACTGTAGAATTCTAAAATCATGGTGTTTTATGTATGATAATACTCTGACTTTTCAGCAAAGCGTTTTACAATGTGCTGTGCTTCCACATGGAGAGCAGTGATGGTCCACATACATTCTCATCATTGGCCTTGTGCACACATAGCCAAGGTTGGTAGGTTAGCAAGATTCTTGGATGCTAGATTCATTTGCTACAAAATTCAGTAGAGGAATCTTACCTATACAGTGGTTGAAAGTGTTCAAAAGGTAATTGGTATACTTTCAACTCAGAATAGACAAGCATAATAATTGTCACTGCTTAAGAAGCAGCAGATAAAATAGCAGTGACTTCCAGTGAGGAGACATTTTAAAGAATAAAGTCAGACTATCTGAAACTTTTTTTCATATTTACAGTACAAATTTAAAGGCTTCCAATAGTCAGAAGTACTACGGAGGGGATAGGCATATGGAAAAATGTGATTACTTTTGTACAGTTCAGCTAATTGCCACAGTGATTTAAGCTATCACATTACTTCATAACTGAGTTGTGGCTAAGCACTTACAGGCAGTTACCATGAGTCAGTGGATTGGTAGTGACTGCTCAGTCTCAGTAGTCTGTTCAGTTTTGATCTTGTGCCTCTACCCTAAATTAAATAATCTCAATATGTGTTTGGGTCCAGATTTTCAAACTTAGTCACTTGGGAGTAGAGTAGCAAAAAATTTAAATACCTCAAGATTGTCTCAGAATTTAGATGGGTAAATCTGACACTGTGATGTAAAAACTTTTCATCCTGTATTTTTAGATATTCAGTGCTGAACTTCCAGTTAGTTCAGCTGATAAGGAAGCTAAATCAGATTTGCAAGACTTCTGTAAAAGTAAGGCTGCTTCAAAAAGCCTAAGTATTGATACGTGCTTCATTTTAGACGTTTAACTTTGAAAGCATTGGCCTTGTTTTTTCTTAGTCAAGTCTCTGAAGTATGATAAATACAGTTTTCAACTTTTTCTTCAGATTCATAGCAGTACAAACAATCTGATTTCCTTAACTTTAAATTTAAAGCCCCTTAAGGATTTAGCACAAATAATTGAAATTCTTAACCTGTGTGCAGAAAAAATGAATGAACAAGAAGCTTTCACTGAGCCTTTATGTGAACTTATTAAATTATGTGGGTAAGTACTTCAGCCCTTCTTTTAGAGATTTAAACACTGCTTATTAACATGTTCATACATTTTCTAAGGCAACTGACATACCCATAGAGCATCTATCCACAAGGCATCTATATCTGCAAGGCATCTATTATATCACCCTTCCTTTTCATTAACTGTGTTTTCTTTGAGTCCAATTTTTGCTGGCATGAAGGAGGGACCCATTTTAGCAGTGCAGTATCTGTGGAGTTACCTGTTACGTCTTTCAAAACTGTGTTGTAATTGGCCCCAGCTTGCTTGGAAGCAGGATTCCCCAAGGTGTCTTATTGCCCAAGTAAGTTGTTCTGGGACTGCTGGCCTCAGAAGATTCGCCAGCTAAATCCTGCTGAGCTATGTTTTGCTGTTTCAAACAAGTTCTCTAAGTGAGTTTATAAAACCTGAAGTGACACAAAGAGACTTTAATATCTGAAGGTAAGCTTTACGAAATGACAAGCCATATTGCAGAAGAGAAAGAACCACAACAACTGGAGGATTTGGGATTTATAATTACTTTAAAAACATATTGCATTAACTTTTGGGCATCTTCGTTGCTATACTGTACCTTAAATTATTTTTAGAATAGAATTTAGGTGTTATCCACACTTGTCAGTAGTTTTTCTCCTCAATAATTTAAGTTACTTACGGAATGCTTGTAGCTACAGTTACTCTTGTATTTAATTATAATTGGATACAATAAGGAAGAGAAAAATTATGCCAGACAAAATGAGTCACATAGTAAACCAGATATTCAAATAGGTTTTTACATAGCTTCCTCTCAGTTGTTAGGTTTAATAAACACAGAATTTATCAGCTGAAATCTCTTCGTTCCCTGAGCGCCATCAGTTCTACTGCTTTCCTTTGCTGCCACACAGTGGACAATGAGAAAGTACATCACGAAGTTTCATTTTCTTCAGTGTTTGGCAGAAGCGTTACAAAACTGAGAATGAGTGTATAAAGTTGAGAAAATGTAGTTGTGAGTAAGACTTTTTGTCTCTTACACCAGATCAGCAATAATTGTGGTTTCTACAATGAGTATATTTTGGAAGATTGCACCCTTGGGTTTTGCTTTAATTTCTGTATTATGGAAATTCCCCCACAATTCACTACTACTTCATATGACAAAGAGAAGCCTATACCTAGAGGGAGAGGGTGTTATTTCCTTCTGGATATTAGAACTCTGGTGGTAAAATTTTCCACTGTTTCATAACTGCTTCTGTTTACCTGTCTTCTTCACACTTTTTTTTTTTCAATATCTGTTTCTTTTTCCCCATTTATTCCATTATTTGCTCTCTTGTTTCTTTTTCTCCAGCTATGTTTACAGAGGTAAACCTACCTGGAAGCTGCTTCTACACTATGAACTGCAGAGACCTCAGCATAATATTTTAATGTTTACTGTTAGAGAATTTTTAGCACTTACATGTTTATGTCATACCTGAGTATTTTGCTAATGTTATTGAATATTTCTTAATATCCTGTTTTAAAAATAAATTTGTTGTTGGGCTATTTGGAGTCAGTTTATTGGGTTTATATTTTATCCATTTCAAGAATCTTCCCCAGGGATATGATCCTTTTTTTTCCACCCCTGCACATGTCTATGCATAGTCTAGCTCTGCAATAGCCTGATGGTGCCTAGGTTCTAGGATTTAATCTTCCATGTTTAAATGACATTTGTTTATTCAGTGTTTTGTATTGCACCAAATATGAATTATGAAAATGTTATCTATGAATATGTACCACTAATTGCCAAAATGCAATTGCTAGATTATGGAACTGGAACTTTCAGTGTAGAATCAGCATTGCAAAGAATGTATTTGTCCTGGGAAAAGTGTCCTTATTTGCAAAAAATGCCAAGGAAGGAGAGAAAAGCTAATGAGCTTTTCTGGTGATTTGATTAAATTGTTCTTCTGCAGCATTTTAAGCATAGCTGTAATATTTCATTTTGCAGATTACCATTTCAAAAAAAGAAATTATCTGATGAAGTAAGCTATTCCATGGCAGTTTCAAAATGTATTGCACAACTGGGTGAGTGTAAACTGATATGCCACAATAAAATTATTATTATGCCATAATAAAATTAACTGTATTATTAGCGCAATTTTAATTGCTTGTTACCTCCTTAGTAAATGAAAGCAATTTCTTTCAATTATTCAGCCAGTCCTCTGTGCTTTTTAGTATTAGAAACTATTCCTGTTTTGCTGTGCAGCTAACCTGCAGATTAGCTAGCAGAATTACCCATTTGCCAATGTCAGAAGCTATGTGAGGTAACTTTATCAGTACAGCTGAAGAACTAAACGTGTCTATAGCCTGTTTCATTTCATTTTGCTCTGAGAAACTGGTGTATTACTCTAGATGTTGAAGCGTGGAATAAAGGAAACATGTATCTTTCCTGCTTTTTTGAAATTAAATGGAAGAAACAAGTGAGAAGGAGGAACTCCTGAATCCTAGCTCAAACCTTCAGAACCCAAAAGCCTGAGACCTGTCACCTACAAAGGCAAGATACAAGTCAGTTGAGTGCCGTGCCTTACTAGGAGTAGCACTTTCTGACTTCAGCCTCCTGCTGCATCTGAGGCATGAGCTTCTATCTTTCAGAAATCTGTTTTAACAGAGCTGTTGAGGAAGAGGTGTCAAAGGCATGTCTTAATGTCACTGGACCTCTTAGTACCAAAATATCTTTTTATAACCTTGCATGTCACATTTGTGATTTTCAAAGAAAATACTGCAAGCACTGTAGGTCAAAAAGGTTTCAGAATAAAGCGGGAGTGATATATCAGCTCACTTAATGGTAAAATTTAAATGGTAAAGAGGTAGCACAATCAGCCTGTCACACATGAAAAGATTATCCTTGAAATGGGTGAGAAAAAAATATTTTTAGAAGTCTTTATTTTCACAGATCCAAGTAGATAGCAGAATGGCCTCCTGGTTTCAGATAGTTCCAGACTAGCTTTAGAGTAGCATGTCCAAAAAGACACTAAAATTTAAAAGATTGTTTATATTACCCATGTTAGGCACTGGTAGCTCTCAATGGAATTCTCTTTATCTTGCGGAAAAGGATCTCTTTTTGTGTTCCCTTTATGTCATATCGTGTCTGCTAGAAGAAGAGTTTCTGACATGGTAAGAAGTAGCTTTCTTCCAAATCCCACAACTTCTGGAATAACATCCAGTCTCTTACAAGGGTCTGTAGCCATAAAGCAGAGGAGGTCACTTTCTGATAACATTATGCTACTCCTCCAAGACCCCTTTGTCCTCTTCAGTATTTTATAATCAAACTTTGCATGAAATAACAGTTTTGTAGGGGGTATGACCAAAGGAAACACTAAATACTGTAAGTAGAAGTGTTAAGATTACTTTCTAAAAAAAAATACAAACTTTGTAAATTACATTTTTTTTCTGTTTCTGACAGGTTATTTGATGAGGGTGCCAAGTTCTCAAGTTAGAATTCAAATCTGTAAGTGTGTTGTTAGCTTTTATAATATGGAACTACCAAGGAAACTACCTTCAGGTAAAGGACAGTATTTTCAAATGTCACAAGAAATCAAGTGTTTATAATCCCAGCTACTTTGAAATGGCTTTTATAATTAGCTCTGGATTAATTTTTCTTTATAACTATAGTTACTGTATCTCATATATTAAATATATAACATTGGCAAATGTCCAGTTAACATGTTTTTATGGCAAATGTCCAGTTAACATGTTTTTATAGAAATGCATACTCAAAATCTGAAATTAGTTCATCAATGTACAATGAATTAATTATTACACTTACAGGATTAGGATTAAATACTGTCCAGAAAATGTGAAGTGGTCACGAGTTCTCTGAAACGTGGATAATGGAGGAAGAGTAGTTAGGTTCAGAATTATAAGAAGAAAAATGTAATTTTCAACTTTGTATATGTAGCCTGGAGAGAAGCAGCTCTGGTCTCACTTGTGGTGCTTGTGAGGGATAGATCTGAGCCTATCTAAGTTTGATTGAGTTCATATTATATGGACACGTTTGAGCGTAGGCATAGGCTTTGAATAAATTGTGTGACTTGTCTCTGCAGAAAGAGGCTGATGATGCCTGCATATGAGCTCAGGCATGATACTCTGGTGTTATACATAGGTATGCAAACTGTCATCGGAATCCAAAGTTTGATCCTGCAGAGTTCTCTTCCCTATGAAGTTACACCAATTTAGACCCTATCAGAGTTTATGCTGAACAAGCTAAAACTCTCTTCACTATGTGCAATATCTGCATTTATCAATCCTGCATTTCATGTCATTTGATATATATATATAAGCTATTTAAGATAAACTTTACTTTCATGAGTTAGCATATATAAATATAAATTTCTTTTCTCAGTGCTTTCCCTTCCCCCGTAATTCAGTCATGAAATACAAATTTGCATATGCATGGATGAAAGTAGAAACAGGGACACATTAGGAAGTCAAGTTTATAAATCAAAGGTTGGATTGACATATTTTAAGTAATATAATAATAGAAGGCATTAATTCTGCAGTGAATAGGCTATAGAAGAGAACTGGGTCCTGCACCAACAACTTATTGCATGACCTGAAGGTGGTTTTTCTGCTTGTTCTTTCATTCTGTAAATTCTAGGAAGCAATTAATTTGTTTATATAGCATTTTAGTCTTCTTGAGGGTAAGTCTGTTGGATATGCTTTAGGCACTATTAATACTCAGATATAAGAAAAGCAGCTGTTGTTGTTTATTAGATTTTTTTCTTCACTTGGTTTTAGGACTAAGGAAATATGATACTCAGTTCTCAGTCCTTTAATGAGAAAGGATGAATATTTTATGAAGTAACCAAAATTCTGAATATTTACTGCATTATAACTAAAGCTGTTTATGTGCAGGTTGCCAGCCAACAAGTGCAAACTATAAAATTCAGATGGCTGAATTAGGAGGATTAGCAGAAACTCTTGTTTTGTCACTGGCATTAGTTGAGAATCAACTTACTGAGAAGTTGTGGGTACTTAAAGCTCTCCAGTATCTCTCCAGCTCTGGTTAGTACAAACTGTTCTTTCAACAATCTCATTACCTCTGTTCTTAGATCATTTGTTCTCTGAACATGCCTAAAACAATTATTGACCTACAGGGAATTAATTATTCAGATTTTCATCATTTCAGGAGTAAATTGCAGACTTATGATGAAGGCCCAAGCAGCCAGCAGACTCTGTTTGTATCTAAATGGTGTTGATCCCTCAGGACAGCTGGTGTTCCGCTCCTCAGAAATCCTATGGAACCTGTTAGAAAACACTTCAAAAGAAGAAGTTGTTAATCAGCTCAGTAGCTTGGAATGTGTACAGTAAGTACAGGGGAGCATTTTATGAATTAGTATTGTAATTTTGGAGACATCTAAAGCATTGCTATTGTGTAGCATTTTGTTTGAAATGAATCGAGAGAAAATACGAAAAGGGAATAGAGGTCTCTCATTAAGTCTTCATTAAGTTTTCAGTATTAACACACCTGATTCTCCAGAACGGAAGCACTACCACATCAGACCTCAGAGCCAAGCAGCCCGTGATTTAGACCCCTCAGGCATCTGTTTCTGTTTCAGCAGGTTAGATAGCACTGTGGGCTGTGAGATGCCAGAAAATTATATAGGATACGAGAGGTGCCTGCCAGGTAGCTTACAAACTTGGTGGCCAGGGTCCAGCTAAAAGCACATCCATTCAACTCCAGAACTGTTTCATTGTCAAGCCTCTCTATTTCATGAGCACAGCAGTCCACCACCGGTTGTTTCTGTTACAGGGCAAGATGGAGATCAAGGTGCTCTGCTGCATAGTGCAGGAGGTATAGCTCTAGCTACTGCTTTGTATGATGAAAAAGTTAACGGCACCATTTTCAAGCTCACATGTTAGGCTTGGTAGGGCAGTATTTCTGCACTGTTGAAATGCTTATGCTATAAACTTAGTAGGAAATTCTATGCTATGATATACGAGGCTTAGTTCTAGATCCCCTGCTGGAGTAAATAAGAGGTTCTCCCTTAGTTAGTTAATTGTTTTAACTATTTAGAATTAGATCATTTCTTCTCAATAATCACTCAACAACATCCAATTACATGCTTGAGTAAATACTATATCTTTCTATAAATTAATTATAACACAGTGGAAGATGCAGTTTGTAATAATACCTTGCGTATATGCTTAAATTGGATATGTCTAGTGGTACACATAAGAATCCATTTCATAATGAACTTTTAAGTGATTTCTCTTGCAGTTAAACCCTAAGGCTTTGAAAAGTATGATGCTGAATGAGGAGGATTCGTATACCTAGAGCTATCTAAAATGACAATATGAAAGGAAAAGGTTAAATCCATTTCACTTTCTTTTAAGTGCTTTGAAAGAAGTATTTGTAGACCTTCTCATGCATGGTTTCCGGCATTATGATCGTCAGCTACGGAATGACCTCTTGGTGATTGCCACATTACTAGCTGAAAACCCTGCAGCACCTATGATTGTAAGTATTTATAGTTATATTCCAGAGACTAATAACTTCTCCTTTGCTATTATATACTCAGTATTTTCCCCATTAGGGTTCTAAAATTTGTTCTACTCTGTCTCCAGTGCTTTCCTCTTTCTTAGATTTGCTGAGCAAGAAACCATTTTTCTTTCTGCAATTCCCTTTACATCAAAGAGACTTCAAATCTGTAGGTTGTCAGCCCGGAGTCCTAGCATCAACCTTCTTTGATACTTAGAAAATTGAGCTAATGCTATTCATGTGCAAAAGTTAACATTAACTCCTATGCTCTTGTACAGATTCTCAGATGTGCCATTCTGTTACAGCGAGTTTTGCACTAAATCTCATTGGTTGTTTGAAGATGTAGGAGTACAGGCTATATTCAGGCAGCCCAAATTCAACTGAAGTATCTGTGCCTTATAAGCAGGAACAAGAAGGTTCCTCCAAAAATCAGCTCAGAAGCTCTAAATAAGATGCTGAGAAAATAATTACTTAGATCCAGTTAATAAGAGGCACATACATTGTTTCTAAGACTAGGTCGCCTAAATGTAGACAGCATTATCATGACTTGCCTAAAAATGTAGATGAGTCATTCTTCTGTAATATTCCAGAATTTTTATGAGGAAACTGCATGGAAGTTAACTTTTTGTAGTTGTTAATATTCTTTTACTCTCTTGTTTTACAGTTGAGATTTAGAACTTTAAATTAAGTTGTGACATACATAATGAATAATTAGGCAATCAAATTCCTGCTTATGTAGTCTATCAGCTGTTCAGGAATGAATTACTTTCAGGGAATTAATTTCTCAACTTGAGTAGAAGTTTCCCAATTGACTGTATTACTAAATAGATTTTATAGTCTGTAATGAAGATTACAGATTTTTCATTCAATCTTTCCATTGTGTCACTAACCATTATGAAATGTCTGTTACACTATTGCAGCAACATATTTGATGTCTAAAACATTCAAATTTTTTATCTGGCTGTAGAAACAGGGCAGTTTTTCCTACAAGATAGATAACCAGGACATATTTTAATTCCTTATATTACAAGGAAGAAAAATTGTTTCAATACAAGGAAAAAATGAAAATGGTTTAATTTAGGTTCTCTGATCTCAGCCTCCCTATAGATTTTACTTCACTTGTGGAGATAAGGTACAAAGCTTAAATATCAGGTAGACAAAAACATCAACATTACCATTGAATCCTGTCTTGTAGATAATACCAGAGAAATTTTCATCAGAGTGTTCTCAGTTTTTCTTAATATACTATCCAAGCAACTTCAGAAAACTCAGTCTTGTATTTAATGTAATTCAGAAATCAGCACGGGAATCTGAGCCTTTGAAAAGGAAAATAATTTCTCACCACAAGTAAACTGGAAAATATATGTAAAGTAAAGCTTATAATGATATTAATTATGATTATCTCTGTGTTAGAACAAAACTATCTGTTTGGTAATTGCTTACTGGTTCCCATCAGAATTTAGTACTGCATTCATCAGCAAGGAGAAAACATTAAGAAGTTTGAATGTTGTTTTTTTATTTAACCAGTTTGCCATGGCTTTGTGCAGAGAATATAGATACCATAGAGACAAAAGCTAATAGGCAATACAGTGTGTACTTCAATATTTTCTTTAAAATTACTTTTGCAATATTTTTCTGATTGTTAAAATCATGTGTGTATATGCTAACTTCCAGAACTAGGCTGAACAAATCTGAGCACAGATTTTTGGAGATGCATCTAAAAAGCTGCTGCAAAACTAATAGAACCACTTGATTCTGTGGGGATGTCTGTGTAGTGTTCTGTGAGCTCTGCCCCTCTTGGGAGCTGGTGGAAAGTTCTGTGGTGGCTTTGCTGAGGCTAAGCTAATGTATTTTATTGCTTAAGAAGAGCAATGTCCTGGTAACCATGGCTTCTAATCATCTCAGAAACAAAGCTCTTTTGCCTCTAATACACACCTCCTGCTGCATACACACCTCCTGGCCTTGGTCCTATCCGTAGTTATGTTAGACATAATTGTCCATTAGCTCTCTAGGAGCTGTGAATTAAAAGATTTTATTTTCTGAGGTTTTAATATGTAATATTTGTACATGCATGTTGCCTATGCATGCAGTTTTCATGTGCTTACTTGTAAATGCACTGAAGTTGAATATATTCAAGTGTATCAGTAGGCACAACTGAAAGCACAAAATTGTATGTACTGATGACCCTGATGTATAAACTTACACGTGTAAAAATGCATTTTAAAAACCCCAACTTTAACAGTACTGAGAATATAGTTTTCTTGTGTGGTCGATTACAGCAGTGAATACATGTGTTTGGGACTTCCCCATACAAATTCAGTCTTGTACTGAATGAGACATGGGTTTAACTAATTGTACCCTTAGGACTGTAGTTAGTTATTATTGTACAATGTCCAAATGGTTGATCTCTTCTTTGATAAAATTCTGTTTATTCTGCCGTAGCATACATAAAACTCTGTGTTCTGAAGAAAAAAGCAAAACTAAAATTAAATCGTAAGTCTTAATTTCACTGCAATTTAATTTATGTATGTTTTTTGAACTCCTATTAGGAAAGTGGATTTACAAAGCTGTTAATAGTACTTGCAACATTATATGAAGGTAAGAGATTTCATACTGCATAATTATACTATTTTTACTTTTAATGATGATTTTTTGGTAACTTATCTACAATTTCCTTCATAGTTAAAATTCCCAATCCCTTGGTAAAAGGTCTTAAACTTACCTACTCTTATGAGGACTTCGAGATGAAGAAGTTACTATTTAATTTAATAGGAGTCTTATCTAAAGACCCATGTGCTGTACAGGTACGTTGTAACAGAACAGAAGATACAGTAAGCCAAAAAAAAAAAAATCACAGAAATATTATTTAGCTGTCCATCTGGCATAGTCCAGTAGACTGAAATCAGCTGTTCTCCAAATCAAGAATTCATACATAACTTCAGACCAAGTCCTGCTGTTTGAAAGCAACATATAGTTTCTATTTTAGGAGAGTTACAAACTTAGACCATGCTAGGAAAATTAGCTGACAAGTGACTGCAAAGCATTATTGAAATACATGTGAAGAACATAATAAAGTTTAACAAACCACAGTCTGTGGGAATGCTACAGAATATAAACCGAGTTTGTACTTGTAGCGTTCATGACATACTTTCTCAATAAAAAATAATTTTGTTAGTGTAGGACAGATAAAGTTGACTCATTGCTTTAGATTTTTCTTATTTGCATGTGAAACCTGTAAGCTCTCTCTCTCCCTCTTTGTCTTGTCTCTGCAGCTTCTCAGTGAAAATGATGTGATGCCAGCTTTGCTTTGTTATGTAAAACCCAGTCAAAAGCCTGGATTTCATGACTGGTCTGCTGCCCAATATGAAGAATTACAGCTTCATGCAATTGCTATTTTAGCTTCAGTGGCTCCCTTGTTAGTAGATAAATATTTGTCCTGCCAAGCAAATACTCTTCTCCTTGTGTTTCTAGAATGGTGTATAGGCCAAGGTCAGTAGATGCTCATGGCTTTCAGAGAGAGTAACCTCAAAACACAACTCAGATGGGCTTACTTTCCTTGACAGGAAGCAAAAATGTAAAACACTTGAAGTCAGAATGATTCTTTTTCAATAGGTCACTTAGGAAACTAATCTTTCTAAAAAAACAACCTTTTTTTTTTTTTTTTTTTTTTTCTACAAGATAAGCTGGTGCCCCATTCCCTGTTTACCACTATCTTGGTATTCCTTCAGTTGTGTGGGCAGCCGCACATCTCTTCTGCCTGTGTTTTAAGCTAGTCAGATACACTTATTGTGGCAACAAGTCCAACCAGTAATTCCCGCCATGAGGCAGAACATGTTAACTCTGTCATAGAGCTGAACACAGTAAGACAGCTTCCAGACTACAGCTAGCTTGTGGCCATCAGCTAAGAGTATGGGCTAAGCAAAAAGATAACTAACTCTACCCAATTTCATGGACTGGTTTTCTGGGGATGGATAGTTTTCATCATAAAATTGGTAAGTTTTCCTAGGAAGAATTTTTCGTTTTGGTCTAATGGACATCTAAAGGTTGATATTACATGTCATGTTAGAGAATATACTTTGAGTTTTGCAGACTGCTTATTAACCTAGTAAGGTTAAAAAAAATCGTTGTAGTAATTTTAAATGTTCACCAAAATCACACCTTTCTTATGAATGTAAAAAGTATAGCCCTACACAGAAAGGCTTATTACTAGACGGTTTTAAACATGAAGCCTTTCTAGCAGTAAGGGGGGGGGTTGTTTGTTTTTAGCTTACACTGACAAGCCTATACTTTTTTCCTGAGCACATTATTATTGTGAACATACACTGTCTGCCAAAAAAAAGTATTCACTGTGATTGCTCCACAGATCCTTTCTTTGGTCAAGGTAACAGTTTCCATGGAACAGGTGGTCGTGGCAACAAACTTGCACAAATGCGCTACAGCCTGAGAGTGCTGAGATCTGTTGTGTCCCTTTATGATGATGCTGTGAACCTTAATTTGTGTGACCAAGGAGCAATTAGCCAGCTATTGGGTAAAGCACAATTTGTATTCCTGTACTTAAATTAGTACATTTTTGCTGACACTAAGAATGTTCGTGCTTTTTTTGTCCGCTCTGGTTTTAGTGTGTTAGTCCTTTGCTGAAAACCTAAAAAACCTCAAACAATCCAAGGTGTAATTGATTTGATTTTGATTTTTGTTACACTTTAACACACAGACTTGAACAAATAAGCAAAACAGCTGTAAAAGCCTAGGTGTTTAGTTTCAGAGTGAAAGCTGCCCTTTCTCCCTTTTTTATACTGCATTTGTTACATCGTATTTTCATTGTGGTAGCCCCTAGGAACTCTAGCCTTGTGTCTTGTTCTACCTAAGTCTATAATGGTATTGCTTTCCACAACTACTCTTTAGAGTAGAAGAAAATTAATAACAATGTACTTTTAGATGAATAACATAATGAAGAATAAAAGCACAATAACTGTTTAACCATTGCTCCTGCAATTTTAGAGCATTTTCTTGTTCAGTAACACATACCTACTGTTACATTTGGGTTTAAATTCCAATACACACTGGTTTAAGTTCTTTTCTTACAGTAATAAAAAGTTTCCAGTATTCTGAAAGAGTCATACTGGCAAAAATAAAATAGGTAAGATCCTTTGGAATTCAAAGAGTATGTTCTAATAGAAAGCCTAGAAGGTTGAACTCCAGTGGAAACTTACAGATTTTAGTGAAAGCAAAATTAACACTCTACCTTACATAACAGATTCAAGTAAATTTTCTTTGGGGGAGTTCTGTGTCTGAATGTCCCCTTTCACCTAGTGGTTCCAAGGCTGATTTTTGCAGCAGTGGTGGTATTTTTCTGTCTCTCCCACATTTCCACTGTCAGTACAAATGTTTGTGAGGCTGTACAGTAGAGCAAATCAGTAAGTACTTTTTTTCTAAGAGTTCCTTAATTCAGATCAGTTCCCTGAATTCATTATACCGGCACAATACAAGGAGCAGCACAGAGCCTGAACAAGGAAGAAGTCAGTGCAAGCTGCTCTCATTAACTCTGTCACCAAGAGTAAAGTCCATGAAACTACAGCATCAGAGTGCTGCATTTCTGTAAACTATTATAAAACACAGGAGATAGATAAAACTGAACAGCATAAGTAGATTCCTTTAAAAATTCCTTGATGTAGATTTGATTTTTTTTTTAAATCAGCAGCTGTAATAGAATTCTGATTTGTGTATAGGACATTAACATGTATAAACTATATTCATTTATAGACATCCTAAAGTATGCAGCAAACAAATCTAAAGAGAAAGAAGATGCCATTCTACTGGAAATCCAAGCTGATATATTATTTCTTTTGTCTGCTCTCTGTGAAAATGATCTCCACAGAAAGGTATGTATCTTTCTACCTCATACTGTGAAGAAAATGTCAAAACATGGTATATTTCCACTTAAAGGATGCCACTTTTTTTTTTAAATGCAAAAGCAGATGTCAGCTCTAGTTCATCACTAACAAGACAGGTCTGATAACTGGTTTCTGTGACAGTGACAGTTAAAATGAAAAATCAATCAGAAATCCACTAGGAAGTGTCTCACCTATTTAATTGCTAATTTACATGATTTTTACTTGAATATATGAAAGTGTGTTAATGAATGAGCAGTTTGGAAAAACTGAAAATCTTTTTTTCTTACGTATATCTTAAGGAATATATTCTGCTTCAACAAGTAGGCCAAATTTATTACAATATAAGAAGTAGTTAGTTTTTTCAATTTCCTTTGTATTTTCTGATATGTAGCTATTTAGTAAGTATTATTTAAGAAACATATTGCTTTAATTAACATTTCAACAGGAACTCTTCAGCTATGAAGGAGTGGATATACTTATCCCATTCATTCAGATGGATCCAAAGAAGTTATATAGTGGATTAGGCCACAACTGTCTCCTCTTCAGTGCACTCGACTGCTTGTGGTTAGTAAAGTATTTTAACAGCAGTAACTCTTAAAACTTGTCAAGTCTTGTATTTTTTAGGTCTGCAATACTATCTGCCTTTCTCTGCACATAGAGGCCTTCTATTTAAAATGTATAAAAATCTTTCATACAATCTGACTAATTAAAAATCATACAAAATAAATGGAATATTCTTCATGTATTCTCTTCTAAATAGGGGTTCAGTATAACAGCCTAACTCCCCACACAGAGTGACCTCCTGACATGCAGAGTTACTTAAGACTTTCTGAGATGTGTATGGTTAGAATCTGTAAATAACTTCAGAGAAGTAAGCAGAAGGCAAGAATAGACCAATCTTAGCTAAAAACTGTGTAAGCATAAGAAGAAATATTTGTAAACTGGCTATATTGGGCTAGAAATATTTTAAAGATTGCCATCAGAGAATGCTGTTACATGGGAGGATAACCAAAAGTTAATTTGTTTGAAGGCAGGGGTTGATAAATACATTGAAAGCCAAATGATATGTTTCTCTTGGAGAAAAGACTAATGTGGGAGATGCCTTCAGTTTCTATGTTAATGACCGTAAGTGAGGAAATAAGGAAGCAATAGCAACATGAATGCTGGTTTTATGATCATTTTAAGCTGGGAGAAGCAAACACTGTTGCCAAAAACCCAGTCTTGCTTGTCTCACCCCTTTGATTCTGCTGGCAGTAATAGTCACACAGCCCTGCAATAAACCAGATCAGGGACATGGTCTAGCTAAATTTTAGCCTCTTTTACTGAGCTAGTTTTAGTTCAAATCCATATTCTAATCCAATTCATTGTGAACCTGCCAAATTTCTTGGGCTGCTACAAGGAAGGTGTGCCATCTGCAAGAGAAGAAAGAGCAGTCAGGTACGGTGTGTTTAGTTATACAGTGTCAATGAAAAGGCATGTGAAACATGATTTTTCTAGTCCCTGAAGGTATGAAGCGTATTGCATACCAAATATATTTATGCAATTCAGTAAAATAAATAAAATGCTTGTAGAATGTTCTAAAGCATAAAAATGTTTCTACACAGTGAAATTATTTCTGTTTAAGGTCCTGTGTCATTGGATGTTACACTGCAGAGGATTATTTTCTTGAAAAACAGGGCATTTTTCTCCTTCTGGATTTGTTGGCAGTAGGTATTTTTATTATTGTTACAGAATGAGAGAGTAGTAAAACAACGTGGAAAATTGCATTATTTTTGTTACAGTATCTCCTAAGACTATTATAATACTAACAAAAAGGCCAATCTATGTAATTCCCTGAGTTAGGGAGGTAGTCACACACCAGGATATCTGCTCAGAACTGATTGTATCTTTTTTAAAAATCAGTATTTAACAGAGGGAGTTTTAAATTTACCAAAACCACTCTTCTTAAAAAGAAAACTCAGATTCTGCTCTTATTTTCAATGACATCTCTGTTTAGAAAAGCACCTCAATTCTTACTTCATATTGAAGTTAGTAAGAGCAGAGTTAGTATATGCTTTAAGGCCTTAAAAGTTTTGATGTTTAAAGTTACTTTGTATATGTATGTACAGCTGCTTTTATGGGTCTTGGACATAGAGCTGGCACAGGCATTTCACCTCTCACAAAATAAGGATGCACCTTCGTTGTTTCATTCCCTCTCATTCTCGCCAGTCTTATTGCCAGCCTTTGATGCCCTTGCTGTGCAAGGCTGCAGACCCTTCCCTACTCTCAGCTGCTGCTAAAAGATCTGGCCACAAAATAGAACGGGTGCTGTATGGTACCGCTCAGCCGCTGCCTTCAGAGCCTGTTTCTTACAAAAATAAATCTTAGTTGTAGTACATTCTCCCACATGGGAGCATGGAGGCATGTATACAAAACCTAATAGGTAATTGTACACACAGGTATGCGCATCTTACATGATCCTACACTCATTCCCCTCATGTTCCTTGATTTATGGAACTTTGCATGGCAGGATTCCAGAAACTTGAAAGATTTACAAGTTTATACAACAGTTTTGTGCAAATAGTTGTGATGTGCAGTTACTTGATAGCATATTATACAATTTCTCTGTTTTTTTGAAGGTAGACATCACTGTGTTTTGAACAGTTTAAAATTTTTTTTCCTTTTCCTTTCACCAAGTTAAAGCAAAAGAACCTGTACAATATAATTCTTGGAATCTTGGTTGAATTTTGTGACAACCCTAAAACCACTTCACACATCAGTACCTGGCGAGGGGAGAAAGATCAAACAGCAGCTAACCTTCTAATACAGCTATGGAGACAGGAGGAGTTGGAGCTAGGAGTCAAACGTGATCGATATGGAAGGATTGTTGGTAAGTTTTATGATGCATGTGAAACTGTGAGCAGTTCCACTGAATAAAGTAAACCAAAGACAGTGTTTGCTTTTGCAGTCTGAATCCTGATGAAAGTAAATAACAATATTTATAGCTTTATGCTGTAGTTCTTACCAAACCCCAAATACCTTTTATCTATTTCATTTCGAGTCTGGCCACTAGATGGCATTTTCTACATCAGCTGGGAATGACCCAGGTAATGAACAGAGCCATGACTAGTATCCTGAACAGCTTTTCTAATGCTGAACAGTTAAACTACTTAATTTCTTCCACAAAGGGCATTGTGTTTTGTTATATGTTGTAAAAAAAAGTAAGGAGAGTGGTATGTTCTCACAAATATTTAGTCGTGCTAATTAATGTTTCCTGGCCCACATTATATTCACATTCCTGGCCAAACTATCCAAATTATGTACGTAGTGTCTGCAAAGTAAGATGGAACTGTTGTCTTTTGGAGGAGGCATCACAGAAACAAATATGTTTGTCTGCTAAAGATCCTCATACTTCATTACATAGATAGAATTTCCTCTCAGTTTAGTAGCTTTGGGAACATACTACCTCTTCATTCTTTTACCCTGGTTTTGTGTTTTGAAATTATTAGACATGAAGAGACCTATTGCTAGCAGCTTCCAGAAACAGCAGGAGGTCATCCCCATGCCTGCCAACTGTCCCAGCTTTGCCATCGTGGAAATTTCAGAAAACATACGGGCAAAACTTTATTCATTATTGTGCAAGCTAGGTAAGACAAGTCAATTGCCTTGTCAGTGTCATATTCGTCATAAAACTGAACTTCTTCACTGGCAATCAATAAAGTCACTATAAAAAAAAAAGTCAAAGGAAACTTTGTGATGCATCATCAACACTTAATAGATGCTTGCTCATCCTGTTCTTAAAAGTCCCTGTTGATAGGGGATCTCAGAACTTCCCCAGTACTTTGCTGCCCCTACCATTAGGAAGAGTTTTCCTAGAATTAAACCTAAGATTTGCTTGAAATTTTCTGTAATTTGTTTTGCCACGCACAGTATCTCTTTCACATATTTTAACACTTTTATATTTAATTTTATTTCCCTAGATTAAGAAGTACTACTTTCTGCAGATGTTTCTCATTTTCTAGCATAACCTCTAATTATTCTCATTGTTTTTTTTCCTTGGGTCTTTCCAATTGGTTCACATTCTTCTTGATCTGTAGCATCCCAAAACTGAACACAGTACTGAACTGAACTAGTATTCTCTGGCTTGTCCTTTTCCCCTTTTAAAAATAGGCATTATGTTTGGTTTTTCACATCCATCCTCCACAGGTTCAAAGAGGATCAGTAATTGTTCTGAGATTGCTTCCACCACTTCCCTGGGTAACCTAGAGAATCAACGTCTTTGAAAACATCCTTAGTTTCTCCAGTAAACTGTAGCTGGTTCTTCCTCTGTTGTAACCCAGGTTCTTACTAATTTTTGTTAGTGTTAATTATGTTAAACGTTGGATCACAGCGAAATTCTTTATTAAAGCAAAAAGGCATGAGATTTTGTTTCAGCTTTCTCCTATATTCAGACATACCTCTTATGTTAGTTATGTACATTGTGATGTCTTTTGTGAAGTACTGAAATGACATGAAAGATAATAAAAAAAGGGAAGAATTTTACAGTCTTTTCTCAGCATCTTCCTCTTACTGTAGTCATGCTTCATAACAGCCTGTAACACAGTGATCTAGAAAACCAGTGTTAATTGATCTTTATGGTATTTCTTAACTTCAAAGCATGATGCAATTATACTCTAATAGATAGATGCTACATTCCCAGTTACCACACAGATGGTATCATGAAGTCAAGAATGAGATTTGATAGACTATATAGATACAGGATGGTTTTTTTGAAAAATCAAGTATAATTAACATTCAGCATGCAAAAAGTGAGGCATAATCTCGGCAACCATACTTCTCTACCTTATTGTTTTACACATAGTGTAAACATATTTTTGAAAATATGGAATCATTATGCTCAAGGTGTTATGCTCAAGGCTCAAGTCTATGAGAGAGAGGACACCCTCATTACACGTCTTTGAAACAAAGTACTGGACACCCTGTTATATGATTCTTCTGTTGGCTACTTCACAGCTATTTGTGCTGAATTGCTTCTTTAGAAACTGTGACCTGTGGACTCAACTGTTTGTCTGCTCTAAGGGAAGATCAAACCCTTACCACAAAAGTGTAGCTAATGCAGTACTATCCTGGCTTTCCAAGTGATTGGAAGGTCACTGGAGCCACTTATAAGTAAAGAGTTAGTATAGAGTGAATTTATTATGGCGAAAACAGGTTTTTTATCACCAAAAGCCTGCTCAGGATTAGAAGAGTGACTGAAGATTTTGCATGTGATTATATGACAAATAAGATGGTGTCTTTTTTTAGAATGTTATTTTAAAGATAAATTCATCATGCTGTTTATACTGACATGATTCATATTCTTTTAGGTTTTGAAACCTTACCTGGCTTATCTGCTAAGGATTTTGTCACACTTGCTATCATACAGCATTATATTGACTTTAAAGTGAGTATTGGGGAAGAAAATATTATTATTCTGTCTGTGCTTGCAAAAATAGCAAGTATATCTCAGGATACAACAAATAACCCTTCAAAAGCTATCACCTATGTTACAAGTCACCTATAGTTTCACAGAGAGTGTAAGCCAGTATTTACCATCAAAAGAAACAATCCCACCTCCATCATTGCAGCACAGCCCAGACTCTTCCTTTGTACTGTTACAAACGTTTGTGACTGCATAGAAAATAAGACTAGAAACCAATGCTAGTTAAAAATAACTCAGAAAAAAGTAGTTTTAACTGTTTGCCAGCTCAAGAAACAGGAATGCACCAGGATAGGAGTAAGAAATTGGGGAACATCTGGAGAGTAGGACTGCTTCTTTATGCAGTAAGGTCCGTATAGGGGCAGGGAGCGGTTTGCTATTAAAAATTACATTAAATACACCTTCTGATAAAGGTTTTTCTGTGCTTTCCCATCTTTGTCCCCACATGCAGTATACATCCATACTGTCAAAAGTTAAGAATGATGTGCCTATAGGAAAAAAGAACAGGATAACAAGCTTTGTGGGAGCCATCCTGCTCAAAAGATGCTTCAGTTTATGCCAATTTTCTGCTTAGGAAAAAAGTCTGTGAGAGCTTGAAGTGTTCAGGAACTAGCAAGACTTGATCTTTAGTTGATAATTCCAGCTTTGTTTATGTCTCATTTCATAATTTGCTCTGATAATGTGCGCAATTTGAGATTTTAAGAAGCAGCCAATAGGACACAAAACTTCAGTCTTCTAATTTGGTATCCTGTAGTTGTCTGTATTTCTTCTGAGTTTCTGTTGTTACCAGCATTCCTGTTACTGCTCTGTGGAGTCAAGCTTGGGCTTGGGAGGGCTTAGGGAGGATTATCATGAATGAATTTGGCATGTCATTACTGAAGTCTAACCTTGCATTAAAATTCTGGGAAGTGAAACAACAACAAGGAGAGAGATTGTGGCTCTGATATATTTTGAATAATTGGAACTGAAAAAAAAAAGATACAAATATCAAATAGTATGGCGTGTGTTCTACATGCAGGTTGGAGAAGTTTGGAGTGAACTGTGTGCAGAACTAAAAGAAGAATTCAAGCCCGTTGGGTCGGATGAGGAAGCCTTGAAAGTTATTTCAGAGATATCAGAAGATACTGGAAGAATGGTTGCTGCTCTGCAGACTGAAGTGCTTGAAAGTCAACATCACAAAGAAATCCAAGAGGAGGAAAAAACATACACAAAGGTAAGACAAGGAGTATTTAAACAAGTATAGCCCATGTAAAGCTTTTTTGTCAACTTACGTGAAGATTTTCCTATTTTATAATGTTGAAAATTCTGTAAGCATACAGTGCTTGAAGATATTTTAATCTCAGTAGAAAAATTTTAACTTTAAATTAAATCAGGTTAACCTCAGTTCTTCCAATTTGTATAATTTTGCCAGTAATATGAAAAAATGAAGTATTGTCAGTGATGCATCAGCAACGATGTAATGAGAAATGATCATTATGTTACTATAAGAGTTGCACCTGTGTTAATCTGTAGCAAATAACAATTTAAAGTACCTATTACAACTACATCTGCTTCTTAAAATGAAACATAAGCCTCTGTTATAAGCTCCCTTGGCTGAATATTCACAAAGCTTCATTACTTCACAAAGTAGGGCTTGTGCTTCCCAGCATGCTGAGAATGAGCAAGTGTAGACATTTTCCAGCTTTGGTTATAAGGCAAGCATTTGGCATTTTTGCTCACCTACTGTCTTATTCTCTCCTGCTTTCTGAGAAGTAAAATCAATTGGTCCAGTCTAAAATCTCATGCTAGTGTTACTGAGGGATTGTAATGCATTATGGTGTCTGCACTTTTGTCACCAGAACTGATTCCATCTCTGTTATTCAGCATTTGAGAGTGAGAATATACGGAAGGTATTCCTGAAAGAGTTGGGGCTCTTCTAAAATCTCTGTTGGAAGAGGGAAAAATGTGTTTGCAACAGAGAAGATAAGCCTATTTTTTTAAAGGCAGTGCATAAGTGAAATCTTTAAAGGACAAGTACATTGCTACAACATTATCATCCACTCTCAAGTGAGAGGGATGAGCTAAGGTAACAAAAGATGGGCATAGGTGAACATACTATCCAAAACCACAAGCAAAGAATTCAGGAAAGCTCATGAGAATAGGATTCTGTTGCATCTTGTAAATCTCATTTATATTACAGATTCAAGCTATCCATAAGCAGAGAGAAATGGTAAATAAATCTTGGGAAAATTTCTTGACTCGAACATCAAACTACGAGGCATTGAAGGTAACAAATCTGAGTGATGCAGCAAAACTTACGTTCACAGTGTAGTTATAATAATTGGGAAGTTCCCAAAATACATTTCTTAATGAATTATGAGGATATTCAAGTAGAAGTTACAGTAAATTTTATATTTGCACAGACATCGAAGAATGAACCAGAAGATGTATTGACAAAGCTACGCAATTTTTGATTCTTCTGCTCTTCTGTGATGCTATGATTTGCTGTTCTGATTACAGTCACAAATTAGGGATCCACATTGTTTATGCACTTGTAATTGGGGGGGGGGGCGGTATATGGATATGTGTATTTGTCCTGAAATTGTTGAAACTAAAAGTCTGGTCATTCTTTTCTTTATTTTTTCAATACTAAATTCCCTATTTTTAATACAGCAGACATCTTTCAAGATGGGAAATACTTTATGATTAAAGGAGTTTCTTTTAGCAGTATTTGTGCTTTTCCAAAAGAACATAAAAAAGAGTCCTGGTTAGGTTGCTATTCA